TCGACCAGCGCCGCCCTTTCGCATACGTGTGTACGTGTTCACTCATTTAACATCCCCTCCTACAACCACGTTAACCAATTTAGCCATCGACCCAAGTAAGTCACAATTTAACACCCCATTTCACAACCACGTTAACCAATTTAGCCATCGACCCAACTAAGTCGCACTTTAACACACCGTTAACCAATTATATGCTCCGCATCCTCCTCAGTGTTCCCCCGAGGGAAGCTGCGGGCAATTTTTTTGGTGCACCATTCACGTTTTGTCTCAATTATAAAGTAAAACAAAGTTCTATAAATCTTTGAATGTTATTTAAACAGCAGGAAAAATAAAAGTACCATGGTAATGTGCGCCAGGATTCATTATCTTCGCATATGGTTTATTTGTAGGCATCTTCATATAGAGATATATATCATCCTAACATATAGTTTGTCGCAATACCTTCGTGACAATATAGATAATTTGTTCGTTTGGCATTGTATGTGGCTTTTTTTGTCTGAAGCATTTAAGCTCATAAAAAGCTAATAACTAACAAGATTCTACGTAACCTAATAATTAAGAAGAATAACTACTGCGATACAGACGCGCCCTATTTTTCACGTGGTCAAATTTTAGATATCGCGCAATTGACAGAACAGCATTTTTTGCCGCAAAAAGTAATATACTTTTTTTTCGGGCCAGCAATTTTTTTCCATACAACTAACTTCGAAGTCATTATTCTGGCTCTAATACTGAGGCACGCAGCAAATTTCATCAGAATCTGGAATGGTGACTTCAACGTCTTGTTTGACCTTTTCTGGACACACTCTGCTCTGGCTTTTTCTAGTGCTCAGTGCAAATTAGGCCCTAGCCTTGTAATGCCGCAAAACCTTCTGCAGAGGTGAGTTATACTGGTTTCACAAATTGACGCACTGTGAGCTTTTGGCAGAATGCAGGAAGAGCCAATCGGTGATGACGTCGTTATGCAGCGTGATCGCCGTGGTTGCCTTTATGCTTCTATATTCAGTTATTCTGTGAGAGCCTGTTAATCTACATGAGTCAAGTGTGTACAACTGGTGCAGCCTAATGGTATGGGCATTCATGAAGAAATCAGCACCTGAGCAAAAGAAAAAATGGTGCTACACGTGTACGCTCAGCCATTTTAGTAGCAAGCGCGCTGAGTGACAGCCTTGTTTATTTTCAACACAAATCCGGTCGAGCCTTGAAAGCTTTACGCATACTCAGAAAAACGTCAACTCAAGCTCAATTATATAGTTCTGGTTCAAGTCGACGGCTACAGTGGCTCGAAGTTATATCATAGCGTCACTTTGTATTCAGCTGCGGCAGCTGCATTTCCGATGGAGGCGGAAATGTTGTGGGCCTGTGTGCTCAGATTTGGGTGGACGTTAAAGAATCCCAGGTGGTCGAAATTTCCGGAGCCTTTCACTACGGCGTCTCTCATAATCATATGGTGGTTTTGGGACGTTAAAGCCCACATATCGGATAAAATCAGCGTCACCTAATTTAGGACGACGGTACCTCCTTCTATTTATTTTATTTATTTATTTATTTATCTATTTATTTATTTGGCAACACTGTCAACTCTCATGCGAGAGTCCTATCAGAGAGGATAACATAACAAAATAATAAAGTCAAACAAACAAAATTAGCAAATACACAAGTACAGGTTAGATTAAGATGAAACACTACATGCCACATTTGTACAGATAGTCATCCAAGGTCTGTTCAAATTTGGCAAATCGTTCTGGTCAACAGCACTTCGGCAATTCATGCCACTTTTCAATTGTGTTAGAAAAAAGGAGTATTTTAAAGTATCGGCATGAGTGCTGTACGCTTGAATGGCCCTGCTTTGGTTGCTTCTTGAGCTCTGTTCACCTGGCGGCAGTAAGTAGACTTCTTTACTAATATTGATTTGGCCACTTAGAATTTGAAATAATAGTTTCAGACAATTTTTCTACCAGCGCGTTTCTAAGAAATGGAGGCCAGATGAAAGGAGCATTTCTGTAACTTATTCCGTCCATCGATACCGGGAGCATATAAATCTCACTGCGTCCCTTTGAATTTTTTCTAGTTGTTTCTTTAAATAATAATAATGAGGGCTCTATACCACCAACACATACTCAAGAACTGGCCTTTTAAAGGTTTTATAAGCAAGAAGTTTCTCATCGGCTGCTGCACCTTCTAGTTTTTTTCTTTAGAAATATATGCTCCCTTATGCCTTCTGTACACTGAAAGGCTCTAGCTTGATTTTATTGTAATAATAAAATTTTACTCTTATTCTGATAACGGCCAATTCACTCTCTGAAAAAGAATGAGAATAAATTTATTGGGTTCATTAAAAGGTTGTTTCCAGATGGAATAACTGTGCCACCCAGCAGAATGGATTTCTACGGAGCACTTCTATGACCGTGAACTGTGAGATTCGCTTTAGCAGTGCACAATACGCTGAGTTACCTCAAGGAATGCACCTATTCACCTGAATGGCGACGAGCAAGTGCCACTACGGCACCCCAAGTCCACAGTAAGGGTGGCCTTTAAAGTTTTGTATCATATGTGTTTGTGCATCCTACTCTACTTAACTTGCTGAACGTGTCCCTTTGAACGTGGGTCTGTGATTGTGGACTTCTTACCACAGAAAAGCAGTTGGGCGTTTTTAGCTCTGCAAAAAAAAAAAAAATCTCGTTCCGTTCCAGAATCACATGCTTCAATAGTCTTAACTTGTTCGTCCACAACAGCACTTTCAAGTTCGAAGAAACGTTACGGACTTTTGAATAATAAACATCGAAAGATAATTACTGCATGCTTCTTCGGCATTATGGTTATTGTGTACAGTGCAAACGATATTTAGGGAGCCAAAAATTGCAATACACAAATGCTCAAGGCACGCTTATAATTTTATTTTAGAAATGGGACGTTAACCGCTTGCAGGTGCTACTATTTGCGAAATATACGCGGCTGGTAATCGTACAGCAACCGGTCTGTATTTACATTCATAGGCATGTGGCGTGAGAGATTCCTGAAATTTGATTTGTGTTGAAGTGTAGTTGATTAGTTTTGTTTACAATGACAAGAGTGAATCAGAATCAGCGCTATTTTAAGATCTTTCTGCTTTGAGATCCTGGGGTACCTTATGCAGGAGCAGGACACAACCTCATTAAAAAAAAAATCATGGAATCAGATGTGGCCGGTTGTCTGCGGCGACCTCTTCTGCACATTCAGTGCAAGACAACTCAAATGCGAGAGCCATCTTTTTTTAGTTTTTTTTCCTCAGTCGACGTACTGATCCTCTACCAGCACAGGCTTTAGCAATTTGTGATAACGTGGTTTCTTAGTGATGCGATCACGTGATAACTACAATTAGGGTATAAGCTCCTTAAGGTCGAAGCTTGTCCGTTGGTGTGCGCTGTGGCAATGATGACGATGACGCGGATGGCTATGTATATGATCATGATGATGATCTTGGACCACGACTGGTTTATGCAGTGTTTAACGTCTCAATATAGGCTCTACGACGCATTTCGTATGACCGAAAAGAGCCAACAAGCAGGGGACCATGCACACACCTCGTTTTCGCAAACTTCGGTCTGAATCCGATAACAGAAAACAGTGATGTTGAAGGCAAAATGAAATTCAGAACTCACCACAGCATACCAGTTATGACCAATAAACCTTGTATAAAACTGCACACAGCATTGTCACTCATTTGCAAGCGTGACTGGCCAATGTCACGGGTGATTTACGCTAACACAGAACGATATCTCTGCTTCACCCACTCATCCTCATTCTCTTTCTAGATATGCCGTGTTCTTGTTTTTTTTTTTTCAAGACTCCTTCTGACGCTGCTGATGAAAGACACCGACGGATAATTTTCGCGTTTGATCAGCCATCCTAAATTTTTGCCTTAATAAATTTTTTACTACATGCATTCCCCCCTTCTGAATACAATTTACTGCTGTATACACTTCTCACTGACATCAGCAAAAAAAGTCAGGCCAATGGGCGTCAGCACGAAACAAGAAACTGCTAACCGCTGTATTGGGATCACGATATTTGAAATGGTTCCCGTAGCACAGGTCCCACTTACAGGAGGGGGTGCCGCAACGTCGTCTCTGAAAAGCTCGTGCCAAAGGGCGCCCGGAGAGGGCCAACTGTGCCATCTCGTTCGAGCCAGCTCAGGGCGTCGACCCTGCCCTGCCGATGCGAGAGCACCTAGGTCATTATGCACGCCGCGAAGAATTGTGAAGGTGCGGCAGTCAAAACAGTGAAGCTGGGCGATACTCCTCCACGCTAACACAGCCAATAATTAGGTGCCGTTCTGGCAGCGATACCACATGGATCTTTTACACTAGAACCGTAAGGGGAAATTGAGCCTCTTTTACGCTCTAGGGCTGAAAAAATTCGGCCACGGTTGAAACAGTTATTTACATTACTATAAACCGCTCATCGCTACCTGTTGGAATGCTGCCAAAGATTTCGGCCCCGCAGTACTGCGAATTTATTATGCGTCAAACGTGCCAATGTGTTAATCAACGCTTAAGCTGTGCACGTAAAATGGAGAGAGGCAGCATAACAATCACACGCTCCGTGAAGAGTCTTCCAGATTTGTTTAAGCCTGTACAGCGGCATTACTTGAATGTTTTATAGCGTCTTATCACCTTGCAGATAAGAATAGTTTCAAGATTGCAGATAGGCTTCGTTTGAAGGCATGACCGCTACCAGTCTTTCATTCAACACCGGTCAGTGTCCAGTCGAGGCATTCCAATAGAGTCCAAAGGTTTCGACCGCCGGGTTGACAGCCTGGCGGCCTTGCCCCGCCGCTTCTGCCGCCGCCGACGGCACCGGCTATTTTGGCGAAGCGCCTGCGACTCCCTGGTCCAAAAATGGAGGCTCCGTGCCCAGGGCGCTCCAGGCTTTGTATGGGGAGGGGGGTGCCGAGGGGGAAATGGCGGCGTCCAATGGCGCGCCCCTCTCTGGTTTCGGGGGCTGGCGCGTGCAGCGGGCTCGCTTAAAAGCAGCCCGCCGTCCGGAACGGCCCCCACAGCTGAGCTTTTCCAACGTAAGTGCCCCTGTGCCTCACGCAACTTCGCGCATCTGGATACGACGTCGCCGAGGGCTACTCTCGTGAGATTCGGGATTTTTGCCACCCCCCCTCACCGGGGCCAGGTAAGGCCTCGCCTCCACTGGTGTCCGCAGGCTTCAACGTCCGCCAGCGCCATCCACTTCGATACGGATTACGCTATAGTGCAAGATAGAGCTGCTGCTTGAGGATATCGACTACCTTGTATCGTACGTAAGCCGTTGGTGAATAATGCAGATCTTAACCATCAGATACCTTTTAGGCCTGGCAACATCGGAAGCGTCTTGTGGCCGTAATTAAACGTGCAAGGAGGAAGTGCTCATATTATTATGGTAAAGCGACAGCACCCCAATACGGCATCACTTTCCAGATTTACCGCTAGCTAATTTCGTTTCTGCCGTTACATTGGTGCTCTAAGGGAGGTGACTTTCAAGCGACCTTCGATGCTGTGCAGAGTTTTTTTTTTTTTTTTGCAACTTTTTCGCAATAAGCAAGATTCTCGTGAAAGTGCGCTTGATTTGTAGTTTAGCCGAGAAAACAGGAGCTACAGCCTTGTTAAGCAAGTGATGGAATGCCTAGAAAGCGAAATCCTTTATCATTGGCAATTATTTTACTTCTAAGCAGAAGCGCAGATTTCCACTGTGCTGTCCACGAAGCGTAGGTGTAGAGCTCAGGTTAAGTGCTGCTTATTTTTAAATAGGTCACATCACGTACTTAATTGACGATGCAGACATGATTTCACGATGCGCAACTGAGCACGATTTCACTCTCGCGGTTGTCGTTCCAGGGGCAATATCAATGTCACTCACTTGCCCTTCGTTGAACTTCATGGCAGTATAGTGCAGTGATTCTTATGCTTTAGAGAACCATTCGAAATATTTTATGGTACAGCTGAAAGACACAGGCTAAATCAAACTGCGGTGCTTATTCATAGACAAGAATTCTAATGGGCTCCCAAAGAGGTGGCTAAGAATGGGGGAGGCTTTGAAAGATCGTAAGGCCTTTCTGTCACAATGGTGGTCCAAAAACTCTATCCTGAGGTCTATCGTTTGTGCTATAAACAGCTATGTTTCACCAAAGTATGTAATTATAAGAGTCTGTTTTCTCTATCAGGAACGTTTTCGCATGAGCAACGACAAAATTCATCTCTAAAACCACAATAAAGTATTATCGCTCAATGCACTGAGCGGAATCCGAGTTTAGGTTAGTTCTTGAAATTTACCTGTAGTTTGTTGACTACGAGGGGCTGCATCGTCGGTAAGCTTTATCTGTGCCTAATTCAGTGCCTCTTCGTAGTTTATAGTATACAGCCAGGACAACAACACGTGCACTAGCTGTGATGCATGAAATAGAATAATATTTGTTAATGGCAGTCTCCGTTCTTTATTATTGTTAATTTAGTCTTCAAACTGATTTCGCGCTATTATGCGCCATGTTCATATTGCATTTCGCTGTAACCAATATTGCTAGCGCAACACAGCGACGAAAAAAAATAGCATTTCTTCGTACAGACTGTATAAAAGCCAACTACGCTCAAGAGCACTGGACAAATTTTACCCTAATACAGCTGCCACAATGATTTGGATTAGCTCTTGTGACACGTAGGAATGAGGCTAACATATAATTGTATGCCTAATTAACTGCATATGACGTAATTTACGATCAAGTATTATATCATTGTCGTATTGTCAATAAGGACAAAGCCTGCGGCACCATTAATTGCGACGGGGCGTGGCCATCCTGAATTTCCTGGAGACCTCGGTGCATATTGCCTATTTTTTAAGTGTTTATAGTGTGATTTGTTCCTACACAAAGTGTAATTGTCATTGCACTCAGTGAAACGTATCGCACGAAGTGTTATTACACTGTTACTTAGCAAACAGCAACTGGCAATTTAGCGCGGTGAAAACTAATAGCGGCCGCAATTGGCAGCAAGTGGGCCGTCATTTATTTGACAAATGATGCTCTTTATAGCACGACATACAGTAAACCAATACATATCTACTCTTGCTGTGCATGTGATTGCACATATGTATATCATGTGGGACAGTCTGAATTGGTGCAACTAATATAAACGATTTCAAACGGTGTTTGCATATCAAAAAGGTTTCATTGGCAGTGACATATTTATTTAAATGTACTGGTGTGCACATTTGGAGGTGACAGCAAAGTCTATAATGAGCCTTGAGGCTCAGTTTCAAAATTAGTACTGACGATGTGTGTTATAATTGCAAAACTGCGCGCAACTATGCTTGTGTTCCTTACAATGACCTAAAAACGAAGGAACATACTTAACTAATTTCTTCTACTCCGAGCAATTGGGAGAAAGGGCAAGCGGGGTTCAATGCATTCAAACATTGCGGATATTCGAAAGCAATTCTTAATCTGTACACCTCCACCTTCTCACGTTACCATCGAGTTCTGTTGTATAGAGTAACATAACAGGCGCCAAGGAGCGATATATCAACTAACGATTCATTAAAGAATGATGCATCATGCAATATTTGAAGACATCTAAGCCACGAGGAGAATATCTTCCAGGACGGCGGCGCTTGTTGTTCGGATATTGGAATTTCAGTAAAGCCTCGACGTTTCAATGGTACCGTTGCGTAGTAAAAACGTCTTTCGATGTGATGACTGGACAATAAATAATTCTTCTGTCAGACCTTTCCCATAAAATCACGGAACTGCATATTTTTCATCGTGAATTGCATAAAAGGGAAGCAATTCACGTTTTAAAAGCATAACCTGCTCCATTATGGTATAAATTAGAGCTTAATTCCTTATACAAAGAGTACACACTGTTTTCCGACAAAACAAAGCCAAAGTTACAAATGTAACCGATTTGCAGTTAGGAAGTGCTTAATCTCATCCTCAAGACCACATCTCATTATTTATCGTCATGTCTTGTTGCCTTAGGGCTTTCGAATATTGCCAGTCGCGCTGCTCGGCTGACGTCGTGAACACAGGTTGATGTGTTGCTGTTTGTTGACTGCAGGCAGGAAGGCTTGCTGAAGCGGCACACGCCGGCCGACTCCTCTCCGAAAGAAGCCCCCCACGAAAGAAGCGATGGCCGAGGACCCCGATCCCACCGAGTACCTGTTCGTCTCTCTCGAGACCAAGCGCAAGGACCAGACCAAGCCTTACGATGGCAAGAAGATGGTCTGGGTGCCCGACGAGAAGGAAGGTTTCGTCCTGGGCAACATCGTCTCTACAAAGGGCGACATGGTCACCGTCGACTGTCCCGGCGGAGAGGTAGGCGCCGACCACCACGCCCGTTCTCTGTTTTGCTTCCGCATGTTGCCACATAAGCCATGACCAAGTCTTCGAAATGGACACTAGATACCAGCCTTTATTAGGTCGTTTTACGAGGTGCAAACAAAAACAAACTTTGCAGTGCACTCTGAGAGCTTTCCTGCCATGAGACAGGACAGCAAACATAGCTTAGTAGGTAAAGAAGGCGTAACATTGCAAGCGGGAAATTATGCTAGTGGGTACTTTGAAGAAAAAAATGTAGAGTTGTTGAGCTCTCGGCAAAACTGAAAGTGCTCAAGCACGTTCAGAAGCAGAACAGAAGAGCATTAAATTTATGACTCGAAATTCGTAGGACGGCTGCATAGCCAACAACAAAAAAAGGTGAAAAACACATTTCGTGATGAATATAACCTAAACTTATGATTTCTGCGGAGGCATAAAGATGCCGCTAATGTTTGCCGAAAATTTGGTAACGCGACATATTCTGTGAAAAGCACGCGGTGAGACCTCGTGAAATCAAAATGTTGAAAAATTCAGGGAGGAGTTTATGGTAACGTAAAGTTCTGGTACCACACGATTATGGCAGTGATATACGGGCAAAAATACCTACATGTGCATGAATAGATGATTTTGTATTTGGAGCAATTATCACTGCTTAGTTATTCACAAAGAGGAAGGGTACGGAATGCTAAATTCTGTTCGTAACTGTACGAAGTCACTGGTGGATCGAATCGTCCGTAAAGTAAGCACACGCGGCATTTTTTTTCTATTTGCCTATTTTTAGCGTATAGTTTATTATTACAGATAATCTTTTAGTAAAAGTAAGAAAAGAAGAAACGAAATCTGAAGAGCTTGGAGAGCATGTCAAAAGCGTGAGAAATAATTTACTTTGCGTCTTCGTTTTAGATGTATGGTCATTTCATGTGGCTTTTGAATTTTTGTTTATGTGTTTTTGTTCTGTTGTTGTGCTTGTGTTGACTGTTTTTCTGCCATGTTTAAAATAGTTTTAATAGTTCCATCTTAGACGGGGGCGGCACACGAAACGATGTTCACTAAACATCTTGCGGGAAACTACAAAACAGTAAGATACTTCAACACACTATAACAGGGGATCGCACTGTTGTTGTTTCTTTTTTCATCCATTACGACCACTAATTACAAACTTGCTAACACCACTATAGAAAGCCAAAGGAACTCCACAGGGCAATAGGCCAGCAATTATTGACCAAACTTTGAGAATCGTGTCTTTTTACTCGCAAAGGCTTTCACGTAAACGGCCGAGGTGTGAAGAAAGCAAGCTATCATTTGTTGGTAATCAACCGGTATACGTATTACACTAGGTTTATTAAAAGATGTCAAAGAAACTTAGCCAGCGTAGCGTCGACCATGGTGCTTCAAAATGCACATGTGTGATATGCTAGCGATGCAGTCCAGCGCCTCCTTACTATAACCACCAGATAGTCTCCATGCACGATGGTTGTGCCTTGTATGCAATGAGCCACCAGACCTTAGCAAGATCGCGCGACCTCTGTCAGCTCGGGTAGCAGCGGAGCCATTCTTGCGTGCATTAGTCAGCCACCTCCTCCGTGGTCGCGCCACACACTGGCGGCCGAAGAGGGAGCTTAAGCCCAAGTGGCCGGCTCAGATGCGGCTTTAAATGGGCCTGCCGGAACCCTAGCCCGCACGAACCCCGTGACGTCATCGAGCTGCGGGGCGCCCTATTTCGGGGTGAGCCAGCGGAGCGCGCGTATTTCGGGCACCGGTCGGCCCATTCCACGGCTGCCCGCCCGCCACCCAACCACGCGCGAGACGGCGGGCGAGCCGCTTGCCTGCACTGCCGTCCCAGTGCGATGAGAAAAAACAAAGATGTAGAAAAAAAAAGAAAAACTTGGCTTGTAGTTGGGCAGCCAGCTTTTGGCTCGGCTCGTTGGCTGTGCTACCTTCGCTCGAGCTAGACCAAACTGAGCCGCGGAAGGAGCGGCTTGCGGTGGCTACTCACGTAGCTACATACATGCCTTGAAAGATAATAAAAAAGAATAAAATGAAAATAGTAAATAAACCAAAGCTTTTGGAAGTGCAGAATCGGTGCCAGTAGTAGTGGTAGTGCACGGATTATATTGGGAAAGCGAGAACAGAATGCTAGTGCTCCCAGAAGGCACCATTAAACCAGACTATTGTAAGCAGATTCGCGGCTGGAAGGCTTGAAATTTGCAGTCACATTTTAAAGATTTATAAGCGTTTCTCCTATAGCAGGTATCACATACTAATGAATAACATGATAGGCTCTGATAGAGCGTATAAAACTCCTGTTAGCCTCTATATTACATATTGTCCAGTGGTTGAGTCACAAAAATCAAGATGCCACCGATTCAGTCCCGCCGTAATAGTCAGGTCGGTCATATTAAAGACGCCTTGAAGGTGTACAGCGTTCTCTTCTCAAACAGGAGTTGTTGCCCAAATGCAAATATTTGCAATGTTTGACTGACTCCCCGTCCCGCTCCCTTACCGAACAACAGTATCGGTAGCATACCACACAAATTTTCACTGGACACTTAAAAGAATCACACAACTTTTGGTCACCGGTTGAACCTTTATTGTTTTCTTGCGGTAGTTTGTTCATTGCGCCCTTATTCCCACCCCCCCCCCCGTAAATTAAACGTAATGCTTCGAATACAGGACACATAACGGGTTATCTATAACACAACCTGTCACGCGCACGTGTTGACCCGGGAGACCCGCGCTTTTCCCCTCCCACAGCGCACCATGAAGAAAGAGCTACTGCAGCAGGTGAACCCGCCAAAGTTCGAGAAGTGTGACGACATGGCTTCTCTCACCTACCTCAACGACGCCTCGGTGTTGCACAACCTCAAAGAGCGATACTACATTCACCTCATCTACGTAAGTGCGGGACCACCCGCACCGCGGCGTGCCTTGCCGTGCCTCATCGGCACTCGCGTGGATGCAGCGTGCGTTTCGTTCTCAAGCCAGCCGGCCTGGTGGTGCTGTGCCGCAACAGCGCTACACTAACCACGTTTGTTTTGTCTGCGCCTGCAATCTTCGCGGAAACCGAGGTGGAAGCCCAGTGTTGCCAACATTGGCATCCACCGCTCGCGCGGCCTTTGGCTGCACTTTACTACGGAAGTGGTCCAGCCATGTACCCTTCCGGACGGCTATCGCTCGGCTGAGTTTTCAGCGCTCATTACGGCTTTTTATTTTTATTTTGGTTTCGGAGTTGTGTGATTTATGTTTATTTTGTGCCCACGCTTAAACGCATGCCTGGCCGCTCTTATAGCAAACCGTCAAGAAGGACCTGCTGCAGCAGGTGAACCCGCCAAAGTATGAGAAGTGCGAAGACATGTCGTCCCTCACCTACCTCAACGATGCATCGGTGTTGCACAACCTGAAAGAACGATACTACGTTAATCTCATCTACGTAAGTGCGGAAAAACCCCGCCGCACAGCCCCGTCCAATCCCCGTGTGTACCACAACGCACCGAACCCCTACGGATGCGTAGAACCCGCACTCCCAAATTAGAAACCCACCATCCCCAAATTGGCATTCCTCATGCACCTGGAGGTGTCAACCTCTTTTCCTTCAAGTTTCTTCCTTCCAATCCTTCACACCGCACCGTACTCGAGGCGTACGCCTCATGCCCCAAACTTAGAGATTCCCACTCCTCTCGTACCCGGTAGTGTAATCCATAACGCCTACAAGTCCTATCATCAAGCCCCCAAAGCCAACCCCATCGGAATTGACAAACCCATGTCCCACCGGATATGCCAACCCCACGCTCCTGTGGTGGACTACCCTTCACGACCAAAGTAGTTAGTAGAAATCCCGCCGCCCTAAAAACCACTGCGCTCTGCCAGCGTTGCTGCTCGAACTAACTTCCGTGTGATCTTCATCGCAGAGCGCCACGCACCGCCAGCGAAGACAGCGTGCTTCAGCGACGGCGATTTGCTTTCGCCTTATCCTGCTGCAGCGGTATTAGAGTTACCGCACTGTAACTATTTCTGCTGCTTCAGACTTGGCCTTTGGCGCTTACCACTGCTTCTTTCTTTTCTCTCTTTTTTTCTCTGCCCCCACGCTCACACGCTTGCACGCATCGTATAGCGCCCTGTGAAGAAGGACCTGCTGCAGCAGGTGAACCCGCCAAAGTATGAGAAGTGCGAAGACATGTCCAACATGACGTACCTCAACGACGCCTCGGTGCTGCACAACCTCAAAGAGCGTTACTACGTTAATCTCATCTACGTGAGTACGGAAAACGCTCGAGCAGCAAGACGCGACACGAAACAAATAGTCTTACTGCACCAGAATGAATATAGTCTATAGTGACACAACCCGCACGCACACCGGTTCATGAAACCACTTCCTCTACGCTCCGGCCACTCGCGTGCACTGGTCAGCGTCGAAGTTAAGTGGAGCCCGCACGAAGAAAAAGGAAATTGAAGCGTTCTCAAGCAGTCGCCAATGAATTTCGCACTGTAGTCAATCTTCTAGCTTTCCCATAGAGGAAGAAAAAAATAAGCTTTCTTGTTATCTCTTGTAAACAAAAGTTCATATCATGTGTGTAAGGCAGGTGTATTGTTTCCCTTCTATTTAATAACGTAGACCCAGCGATAAAAGATGTGGTCAGATGTTCTGGTTATGTTATTTTGACAGTTTGCGTTCATTTAGGCTTAGAGTATTGTTTCGTCAACTGGGAGCACAAAATCCAGGTGCACTTATTTGTGCTGCCCAAATATTTGCCTGGCCCTGATGTTTATTAGAAATTTCTCTCGATCAGTCCAAATTATATCACCGCAAGTGAAAATCGCAATTCAGTATTCCTTCTACTTCAGTTTGACCACAAGACCACAAAATGGCACTTCGTAAGAAGAGGCCATGCTTACATATGAACACATTCGCAGTCAGTGGGCATACCTCGTAGTTCTCAAAACAGGCACCACTCATTAAAATGAAACCTCTGACTATTTGTGGCCTCCATGTTGACAACAGCTGCGATCATAAGTACAATATTTTGTTGAAAGTAAGACACCAAGTTACAAAAGCAACCCTTGATTTCGACGCCCAGTCACGATCCTTATCCCAGTTCATGCGTTCAACACACCACAGAACGACCCCAAACACCACCCCTTGTACCCATAGTGGCATGAGATTCACGAATTGCCTATGGGGCCCTGTTTACTTCTAAATTATCTGTACACATGAATTCGAGTTTGAATGCATTTTATTCTCTACTAAATTGTACTTGAAAGTTCTTTGCGTAATGCAGTGTAATGGTAAATAACGCCAGGCCCCCATAGAACGTTTTCTCCTAGAAGTAAAAACGTTGCACGACACTTGGAATGTTCATTATTCCACCAAAGCATCGTTCAATACTCCTTCTTAAAGGACAGAGCCTACCCGTAGAACCCACCACACCTTTGATCCGGGAACGTAGAAATCTGTTGCAGTGGATCCTGCCACGAAACAGCCATCAAGCTCCACCTACCGCTGAACGGTAGGCTACGAAGGACGCCGAAAGCCAGCATGGCTCCCCTGCAGCTTGGGTGTCATCCCCTGCATGATATGCACGACGGCATGATTCCATCGACTTTCCCCCCTTTTGATGCTTGTATTTTGATTGTCTTTTTGTTTCATTCAGTTGTTTTTATTGCACCCCTCAGCATACGCCTTTGCAGGGAATCCACCTTCCCGCTAAATTCTCTTCTCTTGGTTTTGGAACATCTGCACCATCTCCTATGAAAAAGAAATGAAAAAAAGTCACATTTTTGTTTATGTGTACATGAAACAGTCGATTGACATCCTATAGGATTCCTTGACGAGGCGTGAAGCTGTGTTTTACCAAGAAAGTTTCGTACTTATTGTCATAGCCCACAAGTCGTGTAAATTTGTGAAATCGCTCTTACGGTTACTGCATGCTTTGCAAACTCGTGTTCAAAAACTTTGTTATCGCGTGTGCATTCTGTCTCCGTAGACTGCCCGTAGCATACTCTGCTGCGGTTGTAGGTATTAAGACCTAGATGCGGCCTCAAACTTAGACCTTTAAATCTCTCTGAGGCTTCGTACGCGGTTGTCGGGGTTTCAGGGCGTCGCCAAGAATTCGCAGACGCGCGAAACATTTGCTTACACGACGTCAAAAACATCCTGTTATTTAAAACCTCGGAAAAATTCCCCCGACGCGTAGAAACAGCCATATTTTTTTATTAGGAATGCTTTCTTTGTATATTTGTTTTAGCTCGCGAACTAAATGCAAAGAGCTCGTGCTAGCAACCGCAGTCACGAAATCAATTGCGCGAAAGGCTCCGCAGCTCAGGCGCACATCTGGTAAGACGCGCGGCTCTTACAAAAAAGAACAACAAAAAATATACAGGAGCCGTAAAGCGGCGGACGCTGTGGGTCACGTGATTGCCTAGAGTCTTAGGAGCAGCTGCGTTCCGTGCCGTTTCGGAAGCTGTTAAATGTTGCGCGTCTGTTGACGAATCGCACCAGACGCCGTATGTCGTTTCGTGGCATGGGTCACGACTGTGGCTAACGCAGCGTCTCTGTTCGCGTCCTTCTTTTCTTCGACTGCGGCGCACAACAGACGTACTCGGGCCTGTTCTGCGTGGCCATCAACCCCTACAAACGCTTCCCCATCTACACCAAGCGCGTCGTGGAGATCTACAAGGGCCGCAGGCGTACTGAGGTGCCTCCCCACGTGTTCGCCGTCTCAGATGGAGCCTACATGGACATGTTGGCCAGTGAGTATTGCATTTCGACATTCGCATGTGTCTTCGAATGTTTGTTTTTACTTGTGACGGGATCGAGACGGTCACGGCTACCGTACGCGGAGTTCATGCAGTGAACAGCTTTCGTTATGTGTCGGTATATTGATGGCACGTGCCGACTCAAAGTACTGGTTCGCAATCCGTGACAAACTTTACCGAAAAAGGAAGTGAGATTAGAACTCGTGCCAGAGCTTGCTTGCTTAGTTTAAATTGAGGGCTTTTCCGCGGTAGTTTTCGAGAAACGCTAGCGTTAAAACGCGAGTCTGTATGGCGTATGGTAATTCACTTTTAGAATAGGGAGTTTTCGATTGCCATACCCTTAGTTAGCGGGCGTTGAAGTCTCAGCGTTTGTGTATCCCCCGCAAACGCTAACGCACACTCGCAGCACCCTCGCTGCTCGCAAACGGGCGTTGTGGGCCTCTCGCCCTGCACCATGTTTTGGACTTTCTGCGTGTGGACCGCGAACGCTAACGGCGGTCAGCGTTATGACGCATGCGCAATGGTAGTGGCCACTACGAATAGTGTACGCAAAGCATTGAGTACTCTATTCGAAAGCTCTCTAACAGCATTCTCAAAGCTTGCGGTTCTTGTGGGCATAGATAGCGTTGCGGTGCGTATCGTTGCGTTCGAAACCGATGTCAACTCTACCACTCACTAACCTCCAGGGTATACCGCTTAGGATAGCGTTGTTAGGCTTATTTGGAGCAGCTTAACACCACTTGCACCTATTCGTAACAACAGCGGCGTCTCTCGTTGCTCCCAGGAAATCCCGCCTGTGTCTGCTTTTAGTTTAGCCACACTCAGCTGAAATAAACTTCTTTGATCTGTTTTTGGCTCCAGCAGTGTTCTCGTCTAAACATTCGCGCTTTCTTATCAATTAGAACGTGGATGAGTTACGGAACCTCCCTAGGTGCACGGTGGTTGTACGTTCCGTACTAGCTACAGTTATTACGTACAGTGCAGCGTTTCAACCATGGCTGTACCACACGCTGACACGACGTGCGTTCTATTTGGCATGCATAGCCACGGACGAACACTGGCGATGTTGCACTACACGTAACAGTTGGAGCAAAGACGGGAGGCACTTTCTGTGTGCATCAGTTCTTGCTGTGCAGAAAAGATGTCTTGTAGTTTTTGCAACTCATTCACTCCCAAAACCGGCATCAGGCGTAGAAAAATTGTGGGAACTTACTATATAGCGGGAAACTATTGAATAATGGAGTGAATAGTTCGAAGATACGGCCATGGAAAAGCTCAGCTTTTTTAGGATTATATCCTTCGAGTGATCAGTGGCGTCAATATGCCTGCTAATTTTCGCTGTTGGGAGTATGTTGTACATATCGTGATTGAGTACTTGCATCAACAATTTATATTCTCATTTAGGTGCTTCAGAAGTATTTACGTGTACCATTATTATTTCTTCTTTTTGCACAACCTAGTATTTTTTTAACGGCTGCATATTACTTAGCAGCAGGCAACGCCCAAACTTGCCAATAAACCCTAGATGGCGTAGTTGCAAGCTGTTGTTTGTAAGAAATCAACTTTCCAAATGACTCAACTCATGTGATACGTTGCCTTCACGGCTCACATTTTCTTAATCACTACTTCAGTACTAGGGTACCGTTAGGGACAACATTGTAATGGTATTTTCTTTCTCTTCTATTACAGACCGTGAGAACCAGTCTATGCTTATCACGTAAGTCACACTGCCCCCGAAGATTTTTCAACATCTTGTATTTCCTGATTTCCTGATATAATTCTATAAATATAAGAGCAGACGTTTAGGCTACTTGTGTACAGTGGTGTGAGATCTGCAAGAGGCAATCCTGGAGGAAAATTTCTTCCACCTGTCTTCATATTGCCGCGTTTTTGGTCTCATCTACCAAACACCAAATAGTCTTGTGTCCTTGATTCCTTTGCATGAGAAAATATTGGAGGCTAAAATTTGTAGCAGATGTTCGCTAGCCAACTGGATCTCCTGCAGCCAAACTGACTGCTTTTGACAAAAAGTGGTATAGAAAAAAGGAGCAGCTCTTATGCCTTTCAGGCCTTGTGTGACGTTGTTACTACATTTACACTTGTCTATTCACCAATCATCACAATTTCAGGTTAATCTGAAGAAATTGCACCCAGTTATTGGTTTTGTGGTAATTAAAGATAGAACGCTAGATAAATTTTAAAATTGTGGTGGAATCTTGTTCCACAGCGTGTGAGTGTTTTCTCTTGTCTTGTTGACCCCTGCCTGGTAACCCTCTCTTTCCTCCTTTCCCTCTTACCTCCCAGTGGCGAATCAGGAGCGGGAAAAACTGAGAACACCAAAAAAGTCATACAGTATTTCGCCCTTATCGCCGCCTCGGGTTTTAAGCAGCAGTTTTCCAGCGGAGTAAGTGGAAAGAACAAACAATATTCTTGGCTGCCACATCGGCGACTGCAGCAGCAGTCGATGCTCAAGCCCTAACTCGCATGCAGATGTTGCCGCCTCTTGTGTACGCTGTCGCTGCGTCTAAAGGTCACAGCCTTGTGTCCTCGGGGCAGCGTAGTCGTTGGCAGGGCACCCATCTGGATGAGTTAACGTCACACGTCAAGATAGGTGCACTGGGCTCGATGTTTCAGCGCGGCGTTTCATTTCGCGGGAACATGCAGGAGGAGAGCTTTTTAAAGGAACCGAGATGTCAGATACGCCTTTACGTATTTCAAGCGATTGTCAACGCAATAAGCGTATTGCGGCGGTCTGGCATGGTAGAGTTGACCGGGGCCTCGCTTCTTTGTTGCACTTGAATTTCAACGACATCTTTACCGCTAAACGTGACGTCCAGAAGTTAGGCCATACGTATTCAGTGTTTGAATAATCTTTTCTAGGCAAAAGGCATGCGTTGGCCTTAGGAGTGCAGGTACTCTTATTTTCAAGGAAGTATTCTCCTTCGGGAAAAATGGTCTCTCCTTTAGGTAGAAGGACCCCACTCCTTTAGATGCCACGACCTCCTTACCGACTCCCACCTGAAATCCCCGCGAAAACCAGTACTAAAGAACATCTCCAGGACGTAACAACCCAGTCCAATCCCAGACTGGATTCCGCACCCGAACACCTCACCAACCTCCGGAACGTCCGTTAATAACCCGATCGATGCCTCGGTGTAACCGCGTTGCGTCAACTGTTCTCTTTCTCTCTCTTTCTTTCCCGCCCACCCTCAATTTTTCTCCTCCGGCTGCCCCTAGCGGCGAGTCTGGTGCCGGTAAGACTGAGAACACGAAAAAGGTCATAGCCTATTTCGCGCACGTCGGCGCCACGAGCAAGAAAGAGGAGGCCGCAAAGAAGGACTCCAAGAAGGTATCCACACCTGTCGTGCAAAAACCCTTTCCGCCCCCGCCCGCCCGCTGTTTACATCCCGTGATTTCCTTGTAGCCGTCCCACAATTCGTTTCAGAAGCATGGTTGCGTGCTTTGCTCCATCAGGCATTGGGACAACATGGCGAAGCAACCCGGGTTATCATGTTAGTGTCCCTTTAAAATCAGCCCACACAATGTCTTACGTATTTGGTACATTTGGTTTAGGAATAACTTCAATGGCTGAAATTTACTGGTATAAAACGCTCGCAGTTTCCAATTACGCAATGCGGTAATCACACAGCTATGCAAAGAAGGCTGTAGAATCAGTGTCATTGATCACAGCAAAACACTTTTTACCTTTAACCGGTAAGCGAGCATAACTCTTAGATCTACCAAATATCTTTTTTTTAATGTGCGACAGTACACTTCCCAATCAAGTGAGCCATCGGAATAGTTCTTGTTGGTTTTCAGGCTTAAATATCCGTCTTTAACTCTGCACAGCACATGCAACACTGTAAATTTCGGAGTGGACCTTAAGTCATTCGTTAGGTTTCGGGTAGGCTTTCTATGCCTTTGTCCTGATGGTTGATTCTAGATGGAGCAAAAAGCAATTGCAAGAGTTTTCTAAAGGAAAACGGGTCATCCCAAGTATCCCACTAACGGTAAAAGCACGCGTTAGCCGACCAATAGTTGTCCTGGCTATGTAGCCCTCCGAGCTCTGCCTTTGCACCATCCGGTACCGCACATCTTGTCCTGTAAACGCCTCTTTCGCGGACTGCAGGCACGTTATCAAGAACTGCACGCTATCGTGGCTATACTTCATTTTGTAGTGGCCTTGATCCTCGCAAAAACCTTTCTTTCATTTCTCTTGATTGTTATTCTTGGCTGACATAATAGCATGGCTTCAGTTGCTGCTTTCTCAAGACTGCTGAACAACTAATCGGTCTCCACATGAGACACTGTACACCTTCACCACATAAAATGCGACTGTCATTAAGCTTTTCTCCTTTGATTACTAATTACCTGGCTGGTAAATAATATGCACTTTTACAAAGAGTAGTGTTTAACTCTGCAACCATTGCTAGACCTACAGAATGGTTTTCCTACGCGGTAAATGTCCCGTGTGGACGTTTAAAAACAAATGATACTCTAGTTCTGTAACTGATACATACCCTGCCTTCATTTTAGACGGACATTACTGTTAAGCTTCTAACTTCTTGTGATTAAGTAAATAAATGGAACAAGACGCTTCCACAAGCAGTGTTTCAGGCGCGAGCTGCATGCACGAACATATGCTGACGCTCAGAGTCGCAGGGGCATTAATCATTTAATAAAGACATGTTACACGGATCGAGTATGCCATAGTATTGAAGTTGAGCAACTACGAGGAGGTTTTGACCCTAAGAGCAAGGTTACAAACGCCTGTATTGTACGTGCTGTGAAGCTCTTGTAAGCGCGAATGAGAGACTTCGAACGGTCCTATCAGCTGCAATGCCGATAACGTAATAGACAGGCAGAAGGCAGGAATGCGTAAGCTTCCATTTTGTAGACATTCACAGTGGCTGCAAGAGCAGCGGTGCAGTGTAAGGTCCACGATGGTTGCCCACGAATGTTTATGGTCCAGGTCTTCTAACAGTTTCCCACGACGCGTAGGGCAACTTGGAAGATCAGGTTGTGCAGACCAACCCCGTTCTCGAGTCCTTCGGTAACGCCAAGACCGTGCGTAACGACAACTCTTCCCGATTCGTGAGTATACCTCAAACCACTGTACAATATATGTGTAGTCTATTCACTTCCACTCATGGGTTCATCTTGTTCTGTTGTCTCAACACAGGGTAAATTCATCCGTATCCACTTCGGTCCGATGGGCAAGCTAGCCGGTGCTGACATTGAAACATGTGAGTTCGGAAGATAGCTATTGCTTTCTTGCCTGTAAACCAAGATGCCCCTCTTTACGGCTTTTCAAATCCTTATGCTAGACATTGTTCCTCTGATGTGTTTGTGTTGGTGTGAATGTTATTACTTCGCGCTAAAGTGTCTAGGTCTTGTTTATGAGTGTGTTCGGTGTACCATAAAATGACAGCTTAAAGTGCTTGATATGTTGTTATGGTGCATCGTGCTTGCCGAACAGGCATATAACTCGTATAGTGTTATACCACTTGAGAAGTCTGCCGCATTTCCACCTCTACACCTCGAATGCAGCTGCACCCGAGCCTGCGCCAAAGGGGGTTCACTATAAACTGACGTCGTGATAGGAACTGCTGGTGGTCTCGCCTTAGAAGAACACTATTCAGGGCATGATAGGGACTCTTTCCTTAATTGCAGACGCCATCGGCTGCCGAGCTTCGGCCGTTTAGATGGAGCTTCTCCGAACTTAAGATCTGTATGACTTTAGTAAAATACCTCGGCAGTGTTTCGGAATAGTGCGTGCTATGTCAGGTTTGTTAAATGAAAAGCATATCGCAGGTGATGTTGGAAATTGTGCTGATTCAGCTAAAACCGCCCGCTACACACGGTTATTGCTTCTGATACACGGATAATTGCGGCATCGTAAAAATTTAGAGTGGAGAGAATGGCCTTAGTGAAAGCACAATTTTTTTCTTTTTTGCTACCAGATCTACTGGAGAAGGCTCGTGTCATCTCTCAGCAACCCGCTGAGCGTTCGTACCACATCTTCTACCAGCTCATGTCAGGAAAGATTCCTGGGCTGAAAGGTAAGCCATGCATGCTTGCTTTTTGTTAGCAGATTCATATTCATACTCTTTCCAGACTTGTTCAAATGTGAAAAAAATTTTAAAAGAACGACTCTAATGAGGTATTTGTGAAAATCTAAAAAAAAGCACCTTTGTTTCTAACTTGAGGCAATCCTGAAGAATATTCCTAGTTTATTATGAAGTTTCACACGCTGATTTATATTTCTGAAATATGGTACTGTATTCCGTCGCTTAGCTTCAATCCTCGTTCGAAAGCATCGCAATCGAGAGAAAGCTTTTCAAGTGCCTATGCCGCTTAGGTTAACAGAAGAGGTCATATTGATGATAATGTCGATGCGGTGGTTAGCGCTATTTGCTACACCTTGATATTTACTATTGTGCTCTAAAGAAACACTAACTGCGATGGTGGCATTACAGTAAAACCAGCCTAAAACAATACTGTGGGGGCATCTTCTGTGAAAATGGCTAGTGGTATGCATAGAGCTTCAGTTGGAACGTGTCCATACGCATTTCTCATGTGTGAGTAAAATATCTAGCCATCCAGGTTGAACTTGCCGCGTGACGACCACGTAAGATCGGTGCGCATACCAGCTCATTGCCTACATGTAAGACCACATCTAACAATCTTTTACAAACAAACACATCGATACACCCGTTGATGTGATCTGAGCAAGGCGTTAATACATACGCACAGAAAGATTGACAGCTATTTTAAGTTGCAACATCGCCAAAAAAATTTGGTTTCTACGAAAATAAAATTACTGGTGCTGCTTAGGCACGCTTTACGCAGCCGCATTGCTTATTACAAGTAAAATATAATGCAAATGCTTGAAGTTGCCGTTTTGGGCTGAGCCATAACAAGTGTGACGAAACGAGTGCATTGACGGTGCATGCCTTTGATGCCATCTTAATGGGCTTTCGTGTTTTTACACATTTATTTTGTAACTATCGTGTGATGCTTTGCTTTTTTTGCGCTAAGGAAAACAACCAAAAAATTATACACAGTTCGCACTGATCAAAAACCTGTTTTCATGAAACGTTCTATGGTGAAAATTGCATGCAGGACAGCAGCACTTCTGCAGAACTGCCAGCCACATTGCACCTATCATTGCAGTGCTTTTTGTCTACTGTTTACGTAAATGTTTGCACTAACGAGCGATAATCAGCGCTTGCAATCAGATTATGAAAACAAAAAAAGTTTCGTGACAGGGAAGCATATGTTACGGCGCGCTTGATATATAGAAAACAAAGGTACAAGGGCAGCCGATGCTTCCTACTTTGAATGAACGTAATGTCTTTGTCATGAAGTTTATAAATAGTGTCTAAGTAATCAGTTCACAATATTTAATATTATCCTCGGTAGCAGTAAATTTCTCCATAAATTTCTCTGCCAATGCGGTCACTTGCTGGCCCCACTTAATTGAGAGAGGAGAAATTTCAGCCAGTCGTGAATTTGCTTAATTTTGTTGGGAGCTGTGACTCGCGGGGCTGGAGCTAACCCGCGTGGCTTGCCAGAGTGCTGCGCCTTGAGCTGCTGCTTTGTCTAATGAGCTTTGCCTTTCGGTGCCCCTGTCGCCTCCTTCCAAACGCACAGAGAAACTGCTGCTCAGCAATGACATCTCCGAGTATCACTTCGTCGCTCAGGGTAAAACTGAGATTGCCGGCGTCGACGACGGCGAAGAGCTGATTGCCACGGACGTGAG